AAGAAGTGGATATAGATGGGGAGAAAAGGAGAGAACAGAAAAGAGTGACCATAGCAGATAAAGAGTGGAAGAGATTAGATCTTTATTAATTACTATGATTTAATCATTACGTTATTATTATAATCATAATTACTATTATCATTAGCATTATTGTTTTTATTTCACATTATCATAACAATAATGATAATAGTTATCATTATTATCATTATCATTATTAATTATTGGGGCTATCATTGTCATAATTGTCTTTATTATGTATTATTATTATTATTATTATTATTATTATATTATTATTATTATCATTATTAATTATTATTACATTATTTATTATTATTATTATTATTATTATTATTATTATTCATAATTATCAATATTATCATTATTATCATTATTATCATTATTATTTTATTATTATTATTTATTATTATATTATTATTATTATTATTATTATTATTATAGTTGTATTATTATTATTATTGTCATTATTGTTTTTGTTGTTGCTGCCCTTATTCATCATCATTATTATAATCATTATCTTCATTTCTATTATTATCATTATCATTATTATCATTAGTACCACCATCATCATCATTATTATGTTCATCATCATTATCTCTATAATGTTCATCATCATTATCATATTATGTTCAATCGTCAGTTATTACATATACAATGTTCATCATCTTAATATCATTAAATTAATGATTCATCATCATCATTATCATTATTTCATCTTCATCATTTCATCAATACATTATTTATTATTATGTTCATCATCATCATCATCATTATCATTATTATCTTCATCATCATCATTATCATCATTATCATTGTTATCTTCATCATCATCATCATCATCATTATCATTGTTATCTTCATATCATCATCATCAATCATTATCATTATTATCTTCATCATCATCATCATCATTATCATCTTCATCATCATCATCATCATCATCATCATCATCATCATTATCATCATATCTCATCATCATCATATTATCATCATTATCATCATCATCATTATCATTATTATCTTCATCATCATCATCATACTTCATCATCATCATATCATTATCATCTCATCATCATCATTATATATACATTCATCATATCAATTCATTATTCATCATCATAATTATCATTATACAATCATCATCATCATCATCATTATTAATCTCATCATCAATATCATCATTATTATCTTCATCATCATCATTATCATCATTATCATTATTATAATCTTCATCATGCACATCAATTATCATACAATCAACAACACAACAACTAGGAGCCTGTCTCCTCACCCTCCAACAACGATCCTCATCGAAAGGCCTCAACCTACACCAGGAATGCAGGATTAGGGTTCACAGGGTTCATGGCGGCCTGTCCGAAATGTCACGCTGTCTTAGTAGCTTAAATATTATCCCTGATTCCTTTCTCGTCCGCATTATTATATATATATATATATATATATATATATATATATATATATATAGAGAGAGAGAGAGAGAGAGAGACAGAGAGAGAGAGAGAGAGAAGAGAGAAGAGAGAGAGAGAGAGAGAGAGAGAGAGAGAGAGAGAGAGAGAGAGAGAAAAGTCTCAAATCAGAACTTAGAAGTCACATCTGTTCTCTTTCGTATCGGATCGTTTACGTTTTCCCTTTTTTTCTGTCTCGTAATCTGGGTTTATCACTATTTTCTCTCTCTGTCTCTGTCTCTGTCTCTCTCTCTCTCATCTCTCTCTCTCTCTCTCTCATCTCTCTCTCTCTCTCTCCTCTCTCTCTCTCTCTCTCTCTCTCTCTCTCTCTCTCTCTCTCTCTCTCTCTCTCTCATCTCTCTCTCTCTCTCTCTCTCTCCTCTCTCTCTCTCTCTCTCTCTCATCTCCTCTCTCTCTCTCTCTCTCTCTCCTCTCTCTCTCTCTCTCTCTCTCTCTCTCTCGTTTTGTCCCCTTCCTGTCAGGACCACTGGTATGATTTTGCATTATTAACTGCGGGCGGGTTGTGGCCACAGCGAAGTAACATCATGGGACAAGGAATGGCGCCAGGGAGAGTGTTAACAAGACAAGCGGTGTTTTGTTGTTATTTGTCCCCACGTGACGTCATGCGGCAACGTACCAAAATGATGGAAGCGGATACACTCTCGTTTTCACCCATTAATAGCGGGTGTGAGTGAGCGGAGGCGGGCGTCGAATGCGTGTTTATTCCCATTGATACAAAAGATGAACCTGAATGATATTTATCATCATTTGATCAAGTTCTCAATAAAAAAATGGATCCACAATTTTTTTTAGATCATATAATCAGCTTCTTAGTAAAAGCAATAAACACTGACATATCATCTAGTCACGACGTCTTAAGTCTTTATTCACATCAGTCTATATGAATAATAAATTGACTTTATATATCATGCCGATAAAGTGCACTCAGCGTCTCATTTCATATTCCATTAGATTGCATCTCCAGACTCAGATAAAATATTTATGAATAAAACATTAATTCAATACATCCTAAGCAGTCTTCCACGTCGCCGAAAGTACATCAAACTATTAAAATACGACCCCATGGCTACATATATCACAACATTTCTTCCGCTCTTTTCAAATATGCATAGAAAAGTATATGGTAGCCTTTTCCAGGTCCTTTTCGATCAGAAATGACAAAGAGACCCCCTTTGTCCCCTGGACGTGTGCTGTATGACCTTTCACATAGACAGAAGGACAGAGGGGAAGAGAAAATACAGGATAAAGATAGGACGAGCATGACTTAAAAGCATAGGGTTTGACTGACACGAAGGTACAGTGATGGGCGGCTTCTGGTGGTTCCTGGGGAGTGTAGTTTGTTGCTGTTGGCTTGCGACTCTCTCTCTCTCTCTCTCTCTCTCTCTCTCTCTCTCTCTCTCTCTCTCTCTCTCTCTCTCTCTCTCTCTCTCTCTCTCTCTCTCTCTCTCTCTCTCCTCTCTCTCTCTCTCTCTCTCTCTCTCTCTCTCTCCTGTCTACTCTCTCTCTCTCTCTCCTCTACTCTCTCTCTCTCTCTCTCTCTCTCTCTCTCTCTCTCTCTCTCTGCATCTATATATATATATATATATATATATATATATATATATAATATATATATATATATATATATATATATATATATATATATATCCTCTCTCTCTCTCTCTCTCTCTCTCTCTCTCTCTCTCTCTCTCTCTCTCTCTCTCTCTCTCTCTCTCTCTCCCTCTCTCTCTCTCTCTCTCCTCTCTCTCTCTCATTCTCTCCAGCCTTTCTCTTCCTCTGCCTCTGTAATTTACTATTTACGTCAGCTTTCGGAATGATCTGCCCTTTGGATTTAAAATTAGGTTACTTTAAATATCACTTTTTTTTTTTTTTTTTTTTTTTTTTTTACATTCTTTGACATTTAGACCAAGGTCTCTCTCGCTCATTCTTTCTTCCCGCTTTTTCACGTGTCGAAAAAAAACGAATGAAGGAAATCCAACGAGAATAACGAGTGATAAAGTAGGAGGAACGAAATGCCGATTGTAATATCTGAAACTGTTTTATTCTTTTTCTGGAGTAAAGGAAATGTATGGTATGTGTGTGTGTGTGGTGTGTGTGTGTACATGTGTCTGTGTTTATGTATCTGTGTCTATGTATTGTTTATGTGTCTAATTTGTTTATGTCTGTGTGTCTATGTTTAGCATATGTGCCTATATATCTGCTTTATGTGTCTGTGTCTGTTTATAGTCTGTGTGTCTATGGTCTGTTTATGCATCTGTGTCTATGTCTGTCTATGTGTCTGTATCTGTGTTTATGTCTGTGTGTCTATGTTTATGCATATGCGTCTGTGTTTATGTTTTCATATACCTGCGTTTATGTGTCTGTGTCTTTTATGTCTCTGCATCGTTTATGTCTGTTTCTGTGTCTAAGCATTCCTCCTCCAAAATTCAACCCCGCCCACCAAACCCCGCCCCCCAAACCCCGCCCAAACCCCGCCCACCAAACCCCGCCCACCAAACCCCCCCACCAACCAAACCCGCCCCCCCCGCCCCGCCACCCGCCCCGCCAACCCCCCCCCGCCCACCAAACCCCGCCCACCTAACCCCGCCCCCCCCCCGCCCCCCAAACCCCGCCCACCAAACCCCGCCCACCCAACCCCGCCCCCCAAACCCCCCCCCACCCCCCCCGCCCACCAAACCCCCCCCACCCAAACCCCCCCGCCCACCAAACCCCCCCCACGCCCACCAAACCCCCCGCCCACCAAACCCCCCCCCCCCAAACCCCCCGCCCACCAAAACCCCCCCGCCCACCCAAACCCCCCCGCCCACCAAACCCCCAGCCCCCCGCCCCAAACCCCCGCCCCACCAACCCCCATCCCCCAGATCCCTCATCTCAGCCACGCCCCATTCTCACCCCCCCAGCCTCTCTGAACCGCCCCTTCCCTCCCCTCTTCCTTCCAGGCCGAGATGGAGGCCAAGATGGAGAAGATCGCGATGCTGACGAAGGGGGGCGACGGCTCCGAGAAGAAGAGCCAGGAAATCAAGGAGAAAGCGGTCAAGAAGAACGACGCAGCGCTCGAGAAGAGGTGAGGGTCTTGTTTTGTTGTTGTTTTTTTTTCTCTCTCTTCTTCTTCTTCCCCTTTCTTTTCTTCTTTTGTTTTTCATCTTTTGCTTCTTTTTTCTTTTCTTTCTTCATTTTCTTCGGGTTTTTCTTCTTCGATTATTGCTTTTCTTCGTTTTTTTTCTTCTCATTCATTTTCTTCTTCTTTTTATTGTTCTCTTCTTTTTTCTTTCTTTTTCTTCTTTTTCTTTTTTCTTCTTCTTTATTCTTTTTCTCTTTTCTTCTTCTTTCTCTTCTGAACCTCCATTTTCACTTTCTTCATTTCCAACTTTACCTTCATCATAATCTGTTTCTTTTATCTTCATTCTAATCTTCATCTCTAAATTTATTGTTATCCTTGTTTTCATCTTGATTTTTCTAACTTTATCTTTATCTTTTTTATATTATTATCATCGTTGT